CCATTCTAAACCAAATCTTTAATCTTTTATGTAGTTAGTTTATGTATGATATGTTAAAGTATATAAATACATATATAAATATATAAAACCATTCCTACATTTAGGATAGATAGGAATTATGTAAATAGCCCCCCCCCCCTCCCCCAGTTAAGATCTTAGTATTTAGGTAAGGAATTAATGTGTAATTAGGGACTTATATTACAATGCTAGGCATATTAGTATTTAAGTAATATAACATTTTCAATTAGGTAGTGTCAAGATTAAGTAAAAGTAAGTGTGCACATTACTGATTAAGGTTATATATAATTAACGATAAGTAGTATTAATTGATATTAAGTTAGTAAAATAAATTTAACTCTTTGCGAGACATTTCATTTCTTCTGGTGCGGGGTTTTCTTTTTTATTTTTTAATTACCAATTATTCTACATTTTCATGCCCAGAAACACTCAAAGTCTTGTTCCATGAACAAAATGTTGTCTTTTTTTTTATTTAAACTGTTTAGTTATCTATATTCTGTGCCAATGAAAATGTAAAATATTGATACAGAAATGAAATAACGTCTCACATAGAGTTATAAACTTAGTTTAAGGCTTAATTTACTTTTTATTTTCAGTTTTAGCTTTCGCGTCGATTTTTCTTTTAAATCCTCTTTGCCATTATTTTGCACAGCGATCAAAGATTGAACGTTTTGCAAACGTGCATCAAAAGAGAATAATTTATTTAAATGTTTGTAAATTTTTTCGCGAATGGAGGAAGGATGGCTCGTGGATAGGGTGGGTCTCCATTCGCAGCACCTCCTCGTGGTGAGACCTGGGCAATCGGCATTATTTGACATATAATTTCTAATTGTATCAATATAGTTATATCACACATAACTAATAGCTATGATACAATTATAAATGATATAGCAAGTAATACGAGCTAATTGGCTGCGATCTTAATGTTGTGAATTTTCATTCCTTAAATTAGGGAGAAGAAATCGACAAGGGATCTTCTTGTAATTTCTGTTGCTTACACTTTAGGTATAATTTATATAGGTATATCAATTGCAATAGCGATCCTCGAAGTCCATACCTTGTTTCTAACAATGGTTGTGTTTACGAAGGTTAACAAAGGTAGTTTGCTGCTTAGCCGAAAGACAGCTTCCTCGACCACTTCCAATGCGTGGAATACTGTAAATTTCTCTGTGTATAAAATATTTTTTAGATCATTTAGCTTTGCAGGAATTTGCCTGTTCGTTCTAGTCTGGAGTGATTCTAAAATGGTAAAAGATTTCTAATTTTTCTACATTGCATGTTGGAAAAATTCAATGTATGATAGATCTATTCCGTAATTCGTCTTTGTATATTATATAATATAATCACAAAATTAAAAACATGAGCATTAAGAACTCTCAACATATTTATAAGAAATTCTGTAAATGCACGAGTAAAAACATACGGAAGCATTATTGGACGTATAATATATATGTAAGTTTATAAATTCGTAGAATTTGTTAAAAACGCGAATTTTAAATTATTTTAGAATGGGTGATAGGTATGGGGTTTAGGGTCCCTTTGGTTAATATCAATTTTAGCCACTATTAGCTTTTTTTAACTTTAAAAAGTTGTTTTAGACACTTGTGTGATAAAAATTATTGTTACGAGGAAGTAAATGGCTTTTTTATGCGAAAAAATGATTGTACATATGTAAATTAATGTATAGATTGTTGTTGCAAATTATAAGGAGCATATATTTGCAATAAACTATGTAATAACTATTATAAAGGGTTCGCGAATCTTTGGAAAATCAGTTGAGCTCGGGAATGTTCGTTTGACCTCGGTAAGGGTAACCTCGATTCATATAGGCACTTGACGGTCACAAGTCACCTCACTTGCTCCTCGGCCGTCGCGACATACACATCGGGACTTAAACCGCGTAAACAAATTTAAATAAAATTAAAAGCAACTTTTAAAATAATTTCATATTAATAATATCATAATTAATTATGATATTATGATATATTTATTATTTATTATGATATAATAATTATTTTTCAATAACTTTATTTATTTATTTATCTTCAATTTACAATAATTTATTTGATTTATTTTTAATTTTTAATAATTCCCTCCATTTATTTATTTATTTATATTTAATTTTTAATCATTCATTCCATTTATTTATTTATTTACTTTTTAACAATTAATTTCATTTATTTGATTTTTAACAATCCATTTCATTTATTTATTTTTTACTCTTAATTTTTAATCATTCATTTTATTTATTTATTTTTCATTTTTATAACTCATTTCATTTATTTCATTTGTTTACTTTTTAACAATTATTTTAATTTATTTGATTTTTAACTATCCATTTCATTTATTTATTTTTTACTCTTAATTTTTAATCATTCATTTTATTTATTTATTTTTCATTTTTATAACTCATTTCATTTATTTCATTTATTTACTTTTAACGTTTAATAATTTATTTACTTAATTCGTTTACTTTAATTTTTAATCACTCATTTAAGTATTTCATTCATTTTTTAATTCTAATTATCTATATAATAATGAAGTAAATATTCTAAGTTTTATTTTTTTAATTTCATTAGTGTCAGTGAACATTAAATATTTTTATAACAACTAAATTATTACCCTAATTCTACTAAATCGTTTTCGTTGCGATATTTTTCCTCGATACTGGCCGGAGCAAGTTCGTACGGGCCCGCGTTATCGCGAGTGTATTGTGATGGTGTTCCAAGAAAAGAAGAAGGAATTTCGACCAATATTGACATCATTATACTGACGACGTGACAAGGGATGGACACAGTGGTGCTGCTGCCAGGACAAAGGCGACAGTCAATCCAGAGCTGCTTTGATACGGATAAGAGGACAACGTTCGGTGAGTCGCATGTTTACGATTCCTCCGGTTACCCATCACGTCGTAGGACGAATGGTCCGAAACGACACGGGTAGCTGGTTGTATTGTATTATTTTCGTAGCGAGCATAGTGACCACGAGTGCTAATGTACTAATGTACAATAACACTCGTGCAACATATATCTCTGGGATATATTTGTGGATCAGTCTAGGGCTTTCTTGTACATCGCGTATTAGAATCTCGGTTGAAAAAATTTCCAATTTCTATTCTAAATAGGAATTTAGAAACTTTTAGTTGTTCGTTTCGTTCATTGTCATAGTTATTTCACGCAATTTTTACGGAATACAAGTACAAGAAAGCATTCCCCTCGGAGTAGATTCCAAAATCAAAGTAATAATTCGAATGTTTTGAAATTATTAGAGGTGTTGCTTTGATTTTGGAATTTCTCATATTTTTAGTGAAAATATTTTAATGCATGCTTTTTCCTTGATATGAATTCCTCTCGAGTCATTTGAAAAATAGAATCACCCTTAATTATCACTAATCCCGAATTTTAATTAGGATTTTCAGCAAAAGGACAGAGTATTTTTTATATTATTTTTAATACTATTTTTGTCACTATGCTCGCTACTTTGCGACACTATAACTTGCAGGAATTTTTTATTTTTGCATATTTATGCAGTATGCATATTTTATGCACACTGTGCATACAGTGCGTACTGTGTATACTGTGCACCCTGTGCATATTGTAATCGAGAATTCATCAAAATCCCTTAAAATTCCAAATAAAAATTAAAAGTTTATCCGTATTTTCATATAATATAAAAAGAACCAGAGTCACGAAAAATATAGCGCCCTATGTGGCTGCTCGCGTGCATTTTTCCGCTATTGTTGCGACTTTTAAAACGCCATAAGTGACAACGCGTGTCCCGTTCTTAAAAAATTATTTCTCATTTCATTTCACAGTAATCTTATGCAACTATCAATTCTCCCTCTCAACTTTTATTTTCGTCTCATTATTAATTGTTCTTCCTTTGTTGCAGGTGTTCGGCATCTTATATTTTGTAATTTTCTATGTCATTTATTTTGTAACAAATTTTGTATTATATTCTGCACTGCTTTTAATTATTTTCTATGATCATTTTGAGACTCATTTTCTTACTTATTTTGCATAATATTCAATACTATGTTTTGTACCATATTTTATGCTATATTTTAATTATGTGTTTAGGCTTGGGTCTCGATTGCGTAGCCACCTCCACGTGGTGAGACCTGGTAATTGGTATCGTTTGTCAAAGACGAACATTTCGCGACTTATCCCCATGAATTCTATCAAAGTAATTCCAAAATAATTCCTCTTTGATAAACGATGCCAAGCTAAGAGCTACGCAGTACTCGCAGTCCAGTCTAGCCTCTAAAAGGCTACCTTAGGGTATCTTGAAGGCTAGACTGGAATCGCGAGTAGCATTTTATTTGTCCACCCGCATGGGGCAACGTGGGTCATGACAGGACAATGTTCGACATCGCGGGATGCCTGTGTTTTTAGGTTCAATTTATTATAGTTTAATTCCCTTTAAGATTTTTATTCGTTGTTTTCTGTGCTAACATACTATGTCTCATTTGGAACGAAAATTTTTCACATTTCCTTTTCATTCCCCCGTTTTCACGAAATGAACGATTCGAGAGAGATCTAGTAGTAAAATAAAAATTCGAAAAACCCTTTGATTAACGCGATAATTTCATGAACGCATCTCTATTTCATTCCCTTGTTTTCGTTCCAAGTGAAGCATGCCTTTGTTTGTTACAGGATGCTGCCAGGATCGCCTTTATTGTTTTGTTATTTACTTTGGCATTGCCATTTCCATGTAATAAGACATCGTTCGTCAGAGATTTATTTTTCGAAACTTGCCGAAATGAATTTTATTAAGAAATATGTAGAATTTTCATGAAACAACCACAGAAAGTATATATCCTTATTTGACTAGTTAAAGAATGCTTGTAATTTACTGTTTACACAAATATTAGATAATACATAATGTAAAATCAATTCATTTATATTAAATAATTTATTTAAGAATTTACCATTACATTAACATTACATAATTGGCATAAGTTTCAGTTGACACGTGTTCAATTGTTTCCTTACCATCTGCATATTTTTTTAGTTAAAATTTTCTTAACGCTTTAATAATTTCACTGAGGTATTCTATTTCTGAGATATGCAAGGATTTCTTCTGTCGACTTTGCTAAAATTGCTTGTCTGGGTTGTTTAAAACAATTTCCAGATAAAGATAAATTTCTACAAAAGTTTTTATTATTATAATACATTTAATATTTAATTTATTTACTTTAACCTACCTTAGATTTTTCAAATTTCCTAGTTCTGGTGGTACATGACCAATATTGTTGTTAGTAAGATTTAATATTGCAAGTTTTTGCAATTTTTTTAGAGATGATACATCAATGTAGGTAATTAAATTATCATTTGCTATTAATATTTCTAAAGAATTTATGTGATAAACAGATTCTGGTATTTCTTTATACCTGTATAATGTATCAGTGAGATTTAACAATATTCGATTCATATGTGTGAGTGAATATTATAAAAATAAGAATTATAATATGCAATAGCATAATTTATGTAATATATATTATCTAAAAATAATATATATTACTATATAATATACAAACAATACCTGTTAAAGGAAATGTTAAGTTCTTGTAAATATTTAAGTAAGCCAAGACTGGAAGGAAGTGACTGTAAAAGATTTTTGCTTAAATCCAAAATCTGCAAGTACTTATATTTTTCACCAATCCATTCTGGTATATGTGTTAGTTGATTAGATATCAGTTTTAAATCAGCAACTTTTTCAATTATACATAATTCATCAGGTAAGGTAGTTAATTTATTTCTACTTAAATCCACTGTACCTACATCAGCTTTATATGCATTTTCTAAAACTTCTTGTGGTAGTTCAGTAAGATTTTGTCCAGCCAAACTGAGTAATTTTGTACTATGCATTGTATATCTAATATATCGTAAATTATTTAAAAATAATTTATTATTAATAATAGTGAAGCAACAAATATTAATTTATTTAAATCTAATATTAAATTATACATACCTGTCTGGATAAATATTTGTACTACCATCTGAGGTTACATGTTCTTTTGAATTAAAGTTTGTACTTTTAATACCCTGCCGTACATGTTTCAGAATTCGAGAGGTACCACACCTTATTATGTCAGTTCGAAGATTTTGTACATCATTTCCATTGATCACAAATTGCTTTAAATTAGGCATTAGACCAACATAACTTGGTACTCTATGAAACAAAGAATATTATTTTTAAAATATTTCATTAAAAGAATCATACAAAACAGAGTAATAATATATACAAAATAACATACAAGGTTATTTTGTTGTATGATAAATCAAATATTTCTAGGCATACTAGTTTTATTATTTCCTCTGGTATTGTTTCAATTTGATTATTTCCTAATGTCAATGTTTTTAATTGTCCTACACCTTCTAAGCAAGACATATCAATTTCCTATAAATTATGAAAAAATATTACATATAATTTTAATAGATAATGTATTACTATTAATATAAATTATTGTAATATTAAATACTTTTTATAAAAAATCAAAAAAATACATCTTTTTGGAAATAGAGATTTTAAATGTCCAAAAACTTTGATACTTGGATTTAATTGAAATGTGTATACTATTTATTTTTTTCATAAATAATCACTATATATGCTTGAATCAGCATATAATAGTACGTACAGTAATGTTATTATCAGCCAAGTGTAGTACTCTTAATAGTACACAACCAGACATATCAGGGAATGTTGTTAATTTGTTTGTTTGCAACATCACTGTTTCTACCTTCCTTAATTCACCCAGAGGTGGCAACATTTCCAACTGATTATAACTTGCATTTAACTTTTGCAAGGCTATTTTTAAAAAATATGTGTGGTTTTTATTAAATTTTTGTCATACAGGAAGAAACAGTGTGAAACTGTTTTTCTCTTAAACTGATGTTATATATTAAATATACAAAAACTAAATTACAAAAACTAAATTAAATAAATTTAAAAGAAATACAAGTTTTTATATATCATACCTCTCATATTTGTTAAATCAGGTGGCAATTCTTTTAACATATTATGACTTAAATCCAAAGAAATTAGTCGTACTAAATATCCCATCCCAATTGGTAATTCATTCAAGTTGTTGTATGATAAATCCTAAATATATATAACATTTCAAAAGATGAAATACATATAATTTACCTTAAACATACATGTATAAATGATTTATGATAATGTACCAAATAAGTCAACATTATAAAATCACCAACTGCTGGCTCAAGCTCGTTTATAGCATTATTTTTTAAACTTAATTCATGTAACTCATTCAGCTTATAAAATTCATGTGGTAATTTTTCTAATCTATTACTTGATAAATTTAGTATTTTTAAATTTTTTAAATTCCCCATTTCAACAGGCAATTCTTGCAATAAATTATCTTGTAACTGTGGAAAATATAGAAATTAATTACACTTCTTCAATACATGAGAGTATGGTATACTTACATATAATGTAGTTAACTGTGTTAAACATTCTATTCTTGAATCAATATTCTTTAAAGTATTACAGCTTAAATCCAATGTCTTAAGAGGTTCTTGTTCCCACCATCGATCACTTTCATGTGCATAATCAAGTTCAAAATGTAAATTTCTTACTTCTTCCTCAGTTAAATCATTTATATTCCATACTCTATTAGGTACTATTATAAATTTCGTTAGTCATAACATGTAATTAATATAAAGTCCACTATATAATTATACATGTAACATGATACACTGATAAAATATGACTTACCTTCTTTTACAAATGTAATGATCTTGTATGATACCATAAATATTGCTTGTCTATTGCATTATTCACAATCTAACATGCAAAGCTATCTATGAAATAGTTTCATGACTACAACTAAAAAAATAAAGAAATGTCTAGAAATATAAATAATTTTTAATTTTTAAGAGTAACAAAATTAAGAAATGAAATGCAACTAAAAAGCATTTAAGCTGATGTGTATAAATTTATTACAAGTAAAATGTTATAATTATAATTCTTTAATAAATTAACTTTTTATAAATGTAAGTAATGTATAATTTACTTGGTATTATTGAAAGTAAAAGAAACACTATAAATCATAAATTACAAGAAATGTAATATGATACAGATACTAAACAGACATGCATTTGTAGTATAAAGCTTTTGAATGATATCTAAAGAACATTTATTTCATTTTTAAATAATATCAATACCCGTGAACAGTCCTCTGGATGAGAGGTCTAAAATTCCACTTTTTCTCGCGGATATAATAATAACTTCAGACAATTCGGCATTATCGTCATTTTTTGTTCGTTGTTTAAACACTGCTAAATGATTAGCTTTTTTTTTGGTACCACTCATCTTGCACTTCTTCCGCACATTGTTTACAGACTAATATCCCTCGATACGGGATGACTTAATGATGAATATTCCCCCACTTCGTATGTAATAAGCAAGCAGTAATGACGTATGTATATAAGTATCAAGATCACCGATATTAAATCAAATATTATTTTAATCGATCAACCAGATTTGTTATATCTACTGTTTTGTTTATTTGAAATAATGAGTTAAAAAATAAATACATAATTACCTTGATTAATTAATATTGTAAGAATTGTATTTATTTATGAATGTATAGAGAACAAAAAATTTTTAATGAATTTAGTAATGAATAAAACAATTATGATTAGTGAATAGTAATGCGAGAAGTAGTCAAGTAACAACATAAAAAACATTTATAGGAACTTGATAGGATAAAATGTCGTCGTCAGTATGGTATCGTATCCCACAATTTCGATCCATTTATGTAGGAGTATAGAAGCGAGTGCAAAATTGAAATAGTTGTTAAAAATTATTAAATAACAAAAAGACATACTCGGATATTGATTAAATAGTGTGAAATTTCAAATTCTTAAATTTATTTTATTAATATGACTACAAATTTATTAAATCTCATCATATTAAAAAAACATATCTTCTTATTTATATTTATGTTAAGTCAAGTTAATAGTGAAGAAGATCATGTACATATTGAACAATATACCAAAGATAATTTTTTAACGGAAATTCAAAAAAAAAGTCATCTTGTCATATTCTATGCACAATGGTAAGTTTCTTATTTTTAAATAGTATAAACAATAGAAGCATGTAGAATACATTTATAAATTTATTAAAATAGTGTTATATTCAATGTTTCAGGTGTGATCAATGTCAAAAATTAGAACCTACTTGGGAACAATTAACTAAACTATCAAACCAAAGGAATAAAAATATAAAAATTGTCAAAGTGGATTGTACTGTAGATAGTAGCTTATGTGGAGAACATAATGTTACTGATTATCCCACGTATGTATGATATAAACATATCAATCATTAGAGATTGTGTTAATCAAGTCATTAGACAAAAGTTTTGTATAATATTTATGTCGTATAAATTCACATGTATGAAAATATACTTAAGGTTTAAATATAATTAAAATTTTTTATTTTGCAGTTTTAAATTTTTTAATGCTGGAAAATACAAGGGCATTGAGCTTAATATAAACGAATCAACTTTGATGGTTTATGTTGATCTATTAGATGCACTTTTTAAGGTAATTATCAAAAACATTTTTATTAAATTTTAATACATAATAACGTCAAATGTATTAAAATATCTCTTAAATTCTATGTATTAGGATGAAGATATTGTGCCATTGCCTCCTAAAGCAGTAAATGGTTTATTGGAATTAACAGAAGATACTTTTGATAAACATGTATCTACTGGTTATCATTTTGTAAAGTTTTATGTACCTTGGTGTGGTCATTGCCAAAAATTAGCTCCTACCTGGGATGAATTAGCCAATAGTTTACGTAATAATAATTATGTTAGTATATCTAAAATAGATTGTACACAACATCGTAGTATTTGTGGACAGTTTAATATAAAAGGATACCCAACATTACTTTGGATTGAAGATGGAAAGAAGGTAACATTTCTGTATTGTCCTTTTTTCTCAAATTTTAATATTCTTTTCAAATGCAAATTTTAATATTTAATATTTACATTTGACTGTACAGGTAGATAAATATGCTGGATTACGTACTCACGAAGAGCTAAAGACTTATGTATCAAAAATGCTCGAAAAAGGAAACGATGAAGCCAATATTAAGACTGATAATTTAGAGAGTATAACTTATGCTGTAGTTAGTTTAACTGGTGAAAGCTTTAAACATGGTATTGAAAATGGTATTTCATTTGTTAAGTTTTTTGCACCTTGGTGTGGGCATTGTAAACGTTTAGCACCAATTTGGAAAGATCTTGGGAAAAAATTCTTAACAAACAAAGATGTCAATATAATCAAAGTAGACTGTACTCTGGATGTAAGTAAAAGATTGTGCATTGACCAAGAAGTGGACGGTTTTCCATCTTTATATTTATATCGTGACGGACTTAAAATTTCCGAATACAACGGTGCTCGAAATTTAGACGATCTTTATGAATATGTAATGAATTATGTACAGCCGCACGATGAATTATAATTATATATTTTTTCCTTAGAATTAATCTAATTTTAAAGCAATATCAATAACATAAGCTGATTTTAGATATAAATGCGTAACATTTAATTATACATAAATGTACGTAATATATATCAAGATATTATAAAACCATTATATTTTTGCTTGAATAAGTCGTACACTTCCAAAATATATTTATAGAATTATTCGTGTTTGATGTGTTTCTGTTAAGTATGACCTCTTAAAATTTTCAAGGATTAAGTTTGGTTTATATTTAAATAGTCGAAGGATAGAATGAACGTAATAATTGTCCACGCTGTTTATCTATATAGAGTGTTTTACGTTTTACAACTATTTCTCGTTCGAGATCGCCTCTTGCTTTTACCAGCCCAGCCTGAGTTTCTTCAGCTCGTTTTAATTCTGCCAACACGGCCGATGTGCGTTCATTAAGTAATTTCACTTCTTCTACCAAACTATAAATGAAACACATGTTAAGATATGCGTGTTTTGCATAAAATTAAAAGTTAATTATACCGATTATTTAAATATTTTTGTTATGCACTGAAGTATAATCATGTAATTAGATAGTAGTTCATTGATAAAATACATACGCAAATTGGGGAATATCACGACAACTTTCTACATTACGTCGTTGTAATCTATTCGCTAATCGTGTTTGTGCTACTTTCATTGCGCAATCTAACCCCCTCGTCGAATGCCGAAGTTCTTGTATAGATTTTTCGGTATTTGCAAGTTCATGTAAACACTGAAAGAATATTTGCCATTGTGATGTGACAGTTGTATTTAACGAGTTGCTGGAAAAATTAAATTTACCCGAAGTAATTCTTTCTCTAATTGTAAGTGAATATCCTCTGTAAGTTTAATTTTTTGACCTAAAACGAGGTCCACGCGAGTCGCTTGATCTCGAAGATCTTTAATAGAATTCTTATATATAGAATTTAAAGTGGATCTTAAATTCATAGATCTTTGCTTGGCTGCCTCCGCATCGGTCAAACTTTCCCGTGTATAATGTTCGTAACTCGAAGGCGTTGATTGTCTAGTAATAAAAGAAATTACCATTTCATAAATTAAATTGGAAAATTTCATTTTAAAAATTCATTCCAATGCACACTCTGCAGGAAATCTTGTAGCTCCAAGTTTCCATACTATGGTGGAAGAATCATTTTTTAATTTTATACATTCGGAATCAATAGCATAAGCATCAGTTTTATCAGTCCAGTCTACCTCCATCCTTACTTTTGCGGCTTTTAATTCTGTTATCTGCATCTCTATTTGTTCCCGTGTTCTACCAAATAAATCGCGTATTTCTGAGCAAAGTGCAATCTCCTGTTATTATAACAAATATATCATTATAAATTTCAAATTACACGTTTAATAATATATTTTAAATTAGTAACATTCAAATACTGATATAAAGAGATGTTAACTTTAGTAAGTTCCTCTTCAACTTCATCTCGGATGAGGTCGGACTCTAGTCGTTTCGATCGCAACTGTAAAAATTCTCCAGCAATAGCTTCTGGGACTGTAAGGACCGATAAAGAATGCTTTACTCGTCGATATTCAGTTTCCAATAATTCTATTTCTTTTGTAATATCAAGTATTAAATGTTCTAGTTCGATTTTCCAACGATACACCTCGCCTGCTCGTTTTTTTAAATGATCCGTTGATTCCAGTTGCGTTCTATCTGTTTCCATATATGATCGTTCAACGCATCGTTTTGCACTGCCTACTGCAAGTCTAAAATATCACATTTCTTATTATTAGTTGAACTTGGAAAGCACAAAATTACATTAATATGAAGACTTATTTGCATACTGAGCTTCTTGAATCTTTTCATTTGATTGCATAAAAAATTTCTGATTATGAGATCTCCATTGAGGTGCTCCGAAGGAAGTTATAGAATATCGATCAACAACTGGTCTGATTCCTGTTAAACCATCTTGAGGAGTAAATGTCACACGACCGGTTGCCCATGGACCAATTGGGTCCATTTGTTCTTTAGGTTGCGCTGGTAGATCATCTCCTGATTGAGGAAAGTAAAGAGGTGGTTCATCGCTTGTTTTAGTGGATTCTACTCTTGGACAAGGCTGTGTAAGTTTGTTGGAGAAAATTTTCAAAAACTTGGTTAAAATAAAATTTTAAAATTTAATTAAACTATATTTAGCTGTGTAATAACATGAAAGTTATCAAAGTTGTTATTTTAAATAAAAATTTACCGTATCATAGGTTTCATCCAATTTAGCAGAATCATCCATAGTATTCATTTGAAACGCTTTTCTGATAAATGACCAATAGAAATTAGCTTTATGAAGATTTAGGTATTGTTTATAATTGCAATATTTAAATTTTATATATTTTAAAACAAATTTCAGTATTTATTACGAAAATACAGTGGTTTTCCTTGTAATATATGGGTAGCAAGGTATACTAAATTTATCGATTTAATAATTCACGGCAACGGAATATCTTTTCCTGTCGAATTATTTTATGTCCTTTTACTAATAATTTATTAAAAGAATTATCGAAGGACAAAAAGATACCACAAACGAATAATTAATTTTACATTTATACCATGTATATTGTTTCTATATGCTATGAATTTTTATAAATGTTTTCATAAAAGTATTCTTTTTAAGTACATTAATTTATTCATCTGAATAATGCGATTACACAATTTCATATGTTACACATTGCCAAGAAAAAATTCTGCCTAATTTTTAACAGTGTAACCTCTTTCAAGTGGTTAAGTTATTCCATTATCTTTAATAAATATTTCGTACCTGTTGTATATTTACATTTTTTGAATAAAAATGAAATGAAAGAAAATTTAATAAAAAAATAAAAATGAAAGAAACGAAAGAAAATAGATAAAGATGATAATACACTACAAAAATATGTAAGTGACAATTTTTGGTAAAAAATAAAAGTATTTTCGTTTTGTTATTATGTACTATGCTATCGAGTATTCAGTTAATTGCCAAATTAAAAAATTAGAATATATCTAATCTTCCAGCTTGCAGTAAAATAAAACAACATCTTATACAAACAAAGATTATCTGTTATCAGGAATGAAACTGTATTTAAGTCACTGTTTCAGATAAATCAAATTATTGACCGAAAAATCGTAACGAGATACATTAACGAAAATGAATAGAAAAATTCCGGATATTAAATATACTCAGGTAATTGTTTCATTTTACAAAAATAAATAAAAATCAACTTTTATGGAAAAAAAGTTTTAACTTATAATTGACATTATTATTAATATTGTATATTTTCAGTTATTTATTAATAATGAATTTGTGGATTCTATAAGTCTTAAAAAATTTCCTACAATAAATCCAGTTGATGGCACTGTTATTGCAAAAATCTCAGAAGGTGATAAGGTAATACATTTAATTTTATAATTTTCATTATATAATGGAACTTCTTTTACCTTGAATTATTTTACTTATTTGATTTTATATAGGCAGATGTAGACAAGGCAGTTGCAGCTGCAAAACAAGCATTCAGTAGAGGATCAAAATGGAGAAATATGGATGCATCAGCTCGTGGAGTGCTTATGAATAAGGTATCATATTTATTGTATTAAAGCGTATTATGTATTGCATAATCCTATAATAGTTTTAGTAATCTTTGAAAAAGAACTTATCATTGTACATATATATTTAATTATTATAATATTTGTACATGTATAGTTTGCAGACCTTATCGCAAGGGATTTGGAATATATTGCCACACTTGAAACTTTGGATAATGGGAAAACATATTCAAATGCTGTTTTTGATGTACAATGTAGCATAGACACAATTCGTTATTATGCTGGATGGTGTGATAAAATCTGTGGAGACACTATTCCAGCAGGTATGCTCAAAATTTGTATATAATTGTTAAGTATTTCATAAATATTCACAGATAATTTTGTTCTTTAGATGGAAATCTTGTTTCATTTACACGCAAGGAGCCAGTTGGTGTAGTGGGTCAAATTATTCCTTGGAATTATCCTCTTGTCATGTTAGCATGGAAATGGGGCCCAGCTTTGGCTACTGGATGCACTATGGTTTTGAAACCAGCTGAACAAACTCCTCTAACTGCACTTTATGCCGCAGCACTTGCTAAGGAGGCTGGATTTCCACCTGGTGTTGTAAATGTTATTACTGGTTATGGCCCAACAGCTGGTGCTGCTATTGTTGAACATCCAGAAATTCGTAAAGTTGCATTTACTGGATCTACAGAAGTATCTATTTTATACTGTTGATTTTTATACTAATTTATAAAGTTTTGTTAATATATAATATTTTATTTTTAGATTGGTCGTCTTATAATGGCAGGTTCTGCCAAGAGTAATCTTAAACGAGTTTCTCTTGAATTGGGTGGCAAGAGTCCATTGGTTGTTTTTGATGATGTTGATGGTATATTGATGAGATACTCATTTAACTATTAATATATTCATAGTATAAAAAAACTAATAAGTACAAATAATTTCTAGTTAAGGAAGCTGCTGAAATTGCTTACAATGCAATATTTGGAAATCATGGACAGAATTGTTGCGCTGCTTCTCGTACATATGTACACGCTAAAATTTATGATGAATTTGTTATGCATGCTAAGGAATTAGCACGAAAAACAAAAGTCGGTGATCCTTTTAATAGTGAGACTCAGCAAGGACCACAAATTGATCAAGAAATGTTCGATAAGATCTTAGGTTTGATTAAATCTGGGAAAGAAGAAGGAGCGGTATTGGAAACTGGAGGAGAACGTCATGGGAATGTTGGTTATTTTATTAAGGTATAATTTTTTGAGTCAGTGTACTTTTGCACCATTTGAATAATTGTATTGTACAATCATTTAAATTTTAATTTAAGCCCACTGTGTTTTCAAATGTGACTAACAACATGAGAATTGCAAAAGAAGAAATATTTGGACCTGTTCAGTCTATTTTAAAGTTTGAAACAATGGATGATGTTATTGAAAGTGCGAACAGTACCAATTATGGTCTTGGTGCTGGTGTTCTCAGTAAAGATATTGATAAAGCTTTAACATTTGTACAAGCAGTACAAGCTGGAAGTGTTTGGTAAAACTTTTCAAGACATTTTGCATTCATTATATGCATATTTTTTAAAGTTTAGTGAAAATTTATATAAAGAAGTTATTGTTGCATAGGGTGAATTGCTATGATGTTGTTACACCACAAACTCCATTTGGTGGATTTAAACAATCAGGAATAGGTCGCGAACTGTAAGTATAATATTATTTACTTAAAAGAATAATAAAGTATTACATATATTTACATTTATGTTTTAGTGGTGCAGAAGGATTAAAGGAATATCTCGAGACTAAAACAGTAACTATTAAAGTGCCAACATGTAATTAAATATAATATATACAATCATATTTTATATTTGGTTTTATGAAGTTAACACAAATTTATATTTTAATAAAATTATTGCATTATAAATTTTTAGAATTTCATTTATGAATACATGTGCATATATATAGAAATTCTCGTATGAAATTATTAACATAATAATATAATGAATAAAGAGTTTTATTAAATATATATTAATGTTTACACAATTCTATGTATAACAGAAATCTACCTGAATACTTAATAATCTGGTGGAATTCCTAATTCTTCATCTGTCCATTCTATTGGTCTTATGTCAGGGAAATGACCCTAAATGTATAAAACATATTGATTACAAAATCAGATATTATCCGATAGTAATATACTTATTCATCTAAATATGTTATTATTGTAAAAAATAACACAAATTAAATTTTTGAATCAATATTATAATACAAATGTAATTATATTACTTACAATAATATGTTCATAGTCGTACCATGCATTCCAAAAGATCCACCACCACATTATTCCACCTGAAATTTCACTTAATATTATCTGGCTTCTCTCAGGTTTAGGTGCTGAACGATAAGTAAAACTGAAAGAGTATTTTATAATTTAATTATGTTGTTGAAACCATCAATTCATAAGAATGATTTATATATATATATTTGTATAAGTAAATTTTACTCCATTTGGAACTGTTATATATTTGCATGCATACAAACACATATGTGTGTGTGTGTGTGTGTGTAAAATTAATTATATATAATAACAGGATAAATTATATAAGATAGTATTTGGGTATATATATATACACACATATGCACACATATATTGAATATGAATAATAAACTTATCAATTTTCTTTTTCTATTTCTATAGATATATCATAAATATTTAGAACTTTAAAATGTAAAAGTGTATAAACTTAACCTCTTCTTAAATAAACATTATATAATATGTATATATGTGTA